AAAAACAAGGCCAGAAATCTTTGGTTTGCCTCATATGGTGTCAGCAACATGTCCTTATTGGTCACAGGTGATAGAACTGGCTACAATGAAGCATACCTTAGGTCGACTCAGAGCTCTGCAGAGGTGGCAGAGAGACGGAGGTGTGATGATAATGGGGTATGACATGTACCGCATCTTGTCATTAGACTGTAAAATCAACAACGACGAGTGGAAGGAGGAGTTTTATCGCACACTTGTGGATCCAGGTCCAGTGACTTTATTATGGCATGCTACTATTAAAAGACTTTCTATTTTAGGTGTCGTGCCTTTGCTCATGGAATCTGATGTTGTTTTTCCTTTCAGGTCCCGACTTTGTGGTTTGTGACGAGGGGCACATCCTGCGTAATGATGGCTCTAATATCTCCAAAGCTATGAATGCCATCAAAACTCAAAGAAGAGTGGTGCTGACTGGCACGCCACTGCAGAACAACCTCGTTGAGTGTAAGTCTGCAGCGCTAGGTCATCATAACTGTGGCCATGAAGTCCTAAAGTGATTACAGAGAAACATGGGGATTATAATTAGTTTAAATAAGTGCATGATGGTGGAGTTACTCTCTCAAGTGTCCCCATTTAAACAGGATTTGCAGTAATTGTAGTCATCAAATTTTGTTTCCTTTATTTGTGTTTAGAAGCCAGTTGTGTAGTTTGGTTTCGATGCTTTTAACCTTTTTTTCTGACCAGGATACAAAGCTAGTTTGAGAGCTCTTAATTTGCTATGCTGCAAAGTGTCTGTTTGCTCTTCCACAGCCACTTCTTTCATTATGCAGCAGGTGTGACCTACTGCTAACATCCCTGAATGGTGTGGTTTGTTTGGTTTATTTTGTTGCTCAGTGCTATATCACACCTTTGAAATTCTGGTTGTAGTTCTGTTCGCTTCAGAACATCGACAACAGACATGAGAACATCCAGAATTTCCTGCCTTTGTAGATCTGTCTGGTGATGCCAAGCTACTGATTTTCTGCTTTGACTTATTTTATTTGTTTCATTTCGTTATGTGGATTCAAGTCAAAGTATAACATTGTGTTGGCACTACAAAAGTTCAGATCAGGCTGGATTTTTTCCCTTTTTTTTCTGACCAATCAGGCCGCTACATTTGGCAAAAAGTGTACTTGCTCAAAAACGTACCACGGTACTGAATATATTGACATGATTTCTGAAATGATTTCTCTGCCTCCTCAAATGACCACTCCGCCGACATCCTGAAAGCGGTCGCCATACCAAACCATGAAATTCTCCCTGCTACTGCCTCCTCTTGAATACTGAACACACCCAGAATCTCTGTTTCTTCCTTTTCGTGTTTAGAAACATCAGGATCAGCTCATCATCGCTTGATGTTGACTCCTTTTTTCCATAGTGTGTTTTTAAGGACAAATCTTCTGCAAAATTGTGACACTTTTAGTGTTTATTTACGTGACGTGACAAATTTGCATCCAAAAAACTCTGAATTTTGATTTGTTTTTCACAATGTGCTCAGTTTTTAAAGGCTTTTAGCCTAATCTATTAGTTATTTTGTTTAGAAATCTTATTGCGAATACATATTTTGTTCCCAGACCACTGCATGGTCAATTTCATCAAGAAGAACCTTCTGGGCTCACTGGGCGAATTCAGAAACCGCTTCATCAACCCCATAGAGAACGGCCAGTGCGCTGACTCCACCCCGAAAGATGTCCGAATCATGAAGAAGCGAGCACATGTACTGCATTCAGTGCTAGGCGGATGCATACAGGTAAAAATAATAGAAAATCTGAATGCTGTCGTCATTGCATTTATATTCCAGCTCACAATACTGTGTTTGTCTTTTCCTTAGAGAAGAGATTACTCGGAGCTTCGACAGTTTCTGCCTCCGAAGTATGAGTATGTGCTGGCAGTCAGGGTTTCCCCACTTCAGTATAACCTATACCGATACTACCTTGACCATTTCACAGGTGCTGATCTGTATGGTGCACTAAAATAAACCTAAAATAGATGTGTCTTTTTTTTTACATGAAGAGTTTATACCGGTAGATGGTTGTGCTTTTTCCCAGGTGTAAGCTCCTTACATAACAGCAAAAAGATGAGGCCTGGAGCAAACCTGTTCAAGGACTTTCAGGTCCTCGGCCGAATTTGGACTCATCCGTGGTGCCTTCAGCTCAGCTACCTGAGCAAATTAAAGAAGGTAGAAAGATCTCTGTAACTGCATGTTGATTACTCATTAGTCTGAAATAACATGTTTTTCTTTTTTTGCAAAGAAGAGTAAAGGTAAAGCAGGAGATCTGCCCAAGGATGCAGAGACCCCTATGACTGAGGCTGAGGGGTAAGACCTCTTCATTTGTTATTCATTAAAGCCTAAAGCACTTCTGGTGGGTTATGGAAATACTAAAGACCTTTCCTTTAAGATGTATTGTCAAGCAGTGGTGGAACAAATACAGATTGTAGACCAACTGGCATTCCAAGGAAACACGATGCATAAATCTAGATTGAAAAGTGGATGTTGTGTAGACAGGAAGTGTATAAACTCTGGTTTCAGAAACAAGAGTATAGAATAGTATAGAACGATATCAAAAGAAGTGTCACTAATATATGTGATTGTGGAGTTTGTATAGAATATTTGTATACGCCATATAGATTTTGGTAGTCAAAGTACCCTAAGGCAATGTTTATGCAAAGTTTCATCAAGGTTAGTCCACTCGTCCAGGAAGAGATGTGGAACATGCATACATATGCTACAATGGTTATGTTTATTTCTCTATTTTTAGCTGGTGTGAAGGAATGAAAGAGAACGAAGGACAAGAAGGGAATAACACTCACAACAGCACACCAATTATTGATGATGTCAAAATTGTCCGTGCAGTGGAAGGTATAAAAGCTCCACATGCCACTAATACTCCAACAATATAGCTTGTGAAATGTGCTACAGTTTGTCCCATTTTATGTCTTTAGCAGTAGAGAATGCACCCATCAGCTTGAAGCCTCCGAGTCCCGATGAGCGCTGGTACAAGGATCTTCTCTCTGAAAGAGATGCCAAAATCCTGGAGCACTCAGGGAAGATGGTGCTCTTGTTTGAGATCCTGAGAATGGCTGAAGAACTGGAGGATAAAGTGTATGTTTGTTTTCTGATATGAAGCAGATTTAAACAAGTGGTCTGCCAGCGTCTAATGTCATAAATGCGTTTGTAGGATTGTGTTCAGTCAGTCGCTGATCTCATTAGATCTGATTGAGGATTTTCTTGCGGATTCTCATCGTGCCAGAGACCCATCAGCATTCAAAGGTAGTATTCTATTAATGTGAGAGGAAAAGAATGAGGAAGAGGAAATGCCTGTTTATATTTTTATGCTTTTTTTTCCTCCTTGTGTTTAAATTTTAACAGCGGGCAGCTGGGTTAAAGATGTTGATTATTACCGCTTCGATGGTTCCACCAGTGCCACACTGAGGAAGAAGTGGGCAGATAAGTTTAACAATCCTGATAATGTCCGGTAAAGAATGTCTCTCTCTGTCACATCTTTTATATGGACTACACTGATATAACAGAAGGTTTTGATTGAATTTGAATAATCTTTATTCTAGCGGCCGATTGTTCCTCATCTCAACAAAAGCCGGCTCACTTGGCATCAACCTGGTGGCTGCTAACAGGGTGATCATCTTTGATGCCTCATGGAATCCCTCATATGACATCCAGAGCATTTACAGAGTGTACCGCTTTGGTCAGCTGAAACAAGTGTTTGTGTACCGCTTCTTGGCCCAGGTAAGCTTGCTTTTTTTATTTAGAAAATTGAGCTCCACAAAGTCTTGACCTTAAGTCAGTTGTGGCCTGTTTAAAAGTCATATGTGCTTCTTTTCTACTGTGCCAGTGTTGTATGTTCTGCACATGTTACATCAACAGATGAAAAGTTTAAGATTGGTCACTAAATAGTCCTTTTCAAATTAAAACGACATCAGACGTAAACTGAAAAGCTGAAATGCTTTGAGATTCATATTGACTAATTCTTGCAGCTGCAACTCTTTTATTTAGTTATTGTGATTGTTGTCATCTCCAGGGCACCATGGAGGAGAAAATCTACGATCGGCAGGTGACCAAGCAGTCGCTGTCCTTCCGAGTAGTAGATCAGCAGCAGATTGAGAGACACTTCACCTTTCATGAGCTGACTGAACTTTACACGTTCAAGCCAGACCTGCTCAACGATCCAAACTCTAAGAAAAGCAAAAGACCGGCTTCTGTGTTGCCAATGGTAACGACAGTCTTAATTTTCAGTCTCAATCTTACAGTCTTAATCTTAGTCAAACACCACGCAGGTGTTTGATTAAGATTTTGCAGCACTAGATAACTTCTCGTATGTTTCTCAGGATACGGTTCTGGCACAGCTGCTAGAAGACTGCAAAGACCACATAGTGACTTACCATGAGCACGAATCCCTGCTGGACCATAAACAAGACGAGGAGCTCAGTGAGGCAGAACGGAAAGCTGCTTGGGATGAGTATGAAGCTGAGGTACAGGACTGCTCACTGTAAAGCACTGATTATCCCCACCTTTTACATCATATGCATATGAGTAAAACTGTCTGTCTTTACTCAGTCACACCCAGCCAGTGTTCCAGAGACTTCTCACCAAGATGATTTGGATTTAAAGACCAATGAGCAGCTATTGGTATAAATATGTCATTTTATTGCCTCACTGTTTAGTAACATTTGTGTTTTATATTATATATTAAGTAAAAATGTCTCTACAGGAACTGCTTAACAAAAGCAGAACAACTGTTTCAGTGACCTTCATGGCACTGCAGAAAATGAGGATTCACACTGTTGAGGAATACATGTTTCTAATGGTGAGTGACCCTCATATCCTGTGGCAATGGGCATCTTTTAAGGAAAATAAAGTTCTTTAAATGTTGATTTATGTTAGTTTTAAAAAGTATTTAATTCACTTTAAAATTGAAACATCTTTTGCAAAATCTTTTGCATAGCTGTACTTCTAAAGAAATCGAATTCATTCAGTGCCATGCTGGGCCTTTTATGAATGTCGGTCAGTTTTTGGCACTGTTTTGTGTCAATAATGTCAGTAAACACTTCTCTTTGTCCTCCAGCTCCACAGTGTTTCTGATGGTGGATTATGTTCTCTGGTCAATAATTTTATCTTGGCTGTTCATATTCTCTTGTGGCTTTGAGTCACTGAATAAATAGGATTTGCATTAACAAGATCAGCCAATCCGGGATCAACTTAAAACCAGCGTTTTCACAAGGCAGTGGCAGATAACAGAATTCAGACGACTGACAATGCAAACTTATGTAAGTTGAGTTCAAAATATTCTGTTACAGCGGCAGCAGTACCCCCAGTTGCCTGAGGCCGAGGTAAAGAGCAAAGCTGAGGTCTGGAGACAATACGATCTGAAGAGGCAGGAACATTTATATGCTTTTTATCGAGACGCTCTTGGACAGCAACAAACGGTAAGTTATTTGTACACCTGTGAGTGCACCTGTGTGTACATACTATTGTACTAATATACATTTTTTTCTATCATTCCCCTTCTTAGCTCACATTCAGAATACAAAGCATACTGAATAGTCGAAGAAATGATGCGACTCAGATGACTGTGAAGCAGCCTGGACAGACTTGAGCAAGAAAATTGCGTCTTTGTAGGAGGAGAAATTTGTAGTTTTTGTTTTATTACTTATTTCCTCCAGAAGATTGAATGTTTTACAAGAGTAGTTTGCACTGAGCTTCCAAAGTTGTTTAAAACTTAAACAACAGGCCAGTGGTGTCACTTTGGTTCAGCACTTTTTCAGCCTTTCACAGGAAACATTATCATGTATGTAGTTGTTCACCTGCTTGGCTGTTTCGCTGCTACCAAAAGCTAACTGGTGAACACTGGTATGTGCCTTGATCCTTGACCTGTTGATTAACTCTTCTAATATTTTTCTATATTAAATTAAAGTTATATAGTAAATAGTGCACCTTTTATATTTTCCTTATCTCCTGTCACATGTTGATCGTATTGATCATTAAATATGACTTTTCAAATAACGAGGTCAGTGTTTGTACATTTAATCCAGGCTTCAGGCTACGTTGAATGTTTTGTGTCAAGAGGATTTTTTCCCCAACTATTTAATATGTATGACATAAGTGTTCCTATTAGGGTCAAACATACAAATCTTCTGTTTACAATGTAAGCTGAAAAAGAGCTAAAGGGTTTGTTTCAAAAGATGAACGTAAAATGATGGAACCAAGGCCCAGTATTGAACTTTGAATCATATAAAGCTGTACCAGATGGATATGTTTTTGATCCCACAAGGGAAATTGTTCTAGATTTGTTGACAGTAGTAGATAGTCCAAAATCTAGTGGTTATACATTTGGCTAACAAGTGAAAGATCCCCTGTTCAGTCCCAGGAGACACAAATCCCTTTGGTGTTGTGTCAGGAAGGGCGTCCCATGTTTTAAAAAAATAAATCTGCCAAATCAAACAGACAGAAGAAGCTACTTGTTTGGCACATAAAGGGTTGACCTGCCAGAAAAAACAAAACAAATATATGGCTTACACTAATCTCTTTTTAATCATTCTTGTGTAAAAAAGGTGAAGCTTTCAACACATTGTGGATGTGAGTGAGTGCCAAATTTCTGCATGGCATAAACCAACATAAGGTGTTCATGTTTCCCCCCCTGAGTGTCCTGCTAGGCACACGGCAGCTGTTCAGACACTGCCTGGTTTGCCTGAGAAGAGGACTTGTTAATTAGTGAAAGCAGACCAGCTGCAGTGCTGGAAGATCTTCAAGGTACCCCTCAAGCTTCTTGTCAGCGAACACTAATCCAAAGGAAAGCAGTATGTATAAAACCATAAAAAGACTCCTGACACACAGCATATCTTTCTTATAAATTATATTTTAGGTGGTATAAAAACAATGGATAAAGTTCTAGTAACAGTCTGCAGACAACAGTTTCAGAAAATATTTGGCAATTTGTTATGAAAAATGTGCCAAGTTTTTACACATTTTACATGCACCATCAGCATAGCCTATTAAAACATTGTTTTTATGGTAAATATTGTTCCCTTATAGAAATGTCTAACAAGTTTGGGATCAGTTTGTGATACCATCAAAATAATGCTGAATTTAAAGGGCAGAAAAGGCTGTATTGTATTGCACTGCACTGTGTGGAACAATTAGAGACTGTATAGTGGTAACAAAATACTTGAGATGCACTGATAATCCTTACTTCAAAGTGGGAAGACAAGGTAAAATAATAATAATAAAACAAAAAGGTGGAAAACAACTGACCACCATGTATCACTTATGTCATCCACTGATTCAGAGCACAGGAGCTGTAAGGCATCCCAGCAAGCACTGGGTGGTAGAAACAACAGCACATTACATGTTTAAATGTACTATAACATTTTGGTATACTCCATCATACTCATGGACATTTCTGTAATGTATCAAAAGATGTATGGATCACTTTTTTAACACCAACTCATTAACGGAGAAATCGTAAAAAAAATGTTCCGCATTTTAAACTGATGATGAAAGCAAGGATCAGACATGGATGTAGGCGTGCTGATAGATAAACAAATGATCTACCTGCAAACCCAGTGATGAAATGCCTTTCTGCATCATGGACTGAATATAAAAGGACTCAACTCTGCCCACACTATTAAACAAGCCTTTGAAAGATCAACATTTACCAGGCAATGCCAAATTTTACACACATGTATCAGTTTGTTTGGGCTTAAAAAAGGGAAGAAAAGCTGGCAACACACAGACACAATCATATTTTAAGTTAATTTATAAAAACATAAAAAAAGAAATTAGTCCACAAAAAGTAGTCCAATGACCTTCATGGCTGTAGTTTCCAGAAGTCTGAGCTTCCAGAGGGAGTTTTAGTCTCTGATGTTAGTGCATACTAAAAATGATCCAAATCAGGATTTCTTCCTCAGTTTTATGCAGATGACGAAATCAGACAATCCTGTGCAGCAGGTCAATGTCCTGTATCCAAGTCTCTCATGTACTCCTGCAGTGCCTGCAGTCTTGCATCAATCTCTGATAGCTCTGCACCTGTATCTGCAGAGCTTTCTGGGGTTTGGGACATCAAATGACAAATTAGACTTTAAAAAACCAAAAATGCATGTAAACTGATGGGGACAAAAAAAAAAAAAAGAGTACAAGTTACCTTTGTCTTTGACTCTGAGTGTTGGTGTGCTGCATAACTGCTTCCTGGACAGAAGGCCTCCCCTAGACTAGAGACAGATAAATTGCACTGTAACTGTTAAGGCTTGTAATATTCTGTACTTAGTTGCTACAAAACCATTAAAAACTACAACTCTCAGTGATTTAATTCCACTAACATCTACTACCTGCACTGCTTTCATGCCCAAAAAAGGCTGGTATCAGCCCTTTTCAAATACAAATAGGAAAGGACAACAAATAAATAACAGGAAAGTCATAACTCACCACATTGGGTCCATTGTAAGTCTGTTTTCTTCCTCTGAAAACATGAAAGAAAAAACAACAACACCCCAGACATTAAAATAGCCAGCTACACCCACAGAGCCTTCACAAATCCATCCAAAGTACTATCACCTGTACAGAGTTTTGGTCATTTCATCCATATCCACTAACGAGCTTTCAGAGGAGTTCCTGCTCCCTCGCCGCTCCATAGATAAACTCCTGCCTCTGCTGCCTGACCGGGTCAGCTGAGGATAAGTTTCTCTGGAACGTGAACGGCCTCTCTCGGGGAGCACGGGTGATGCCAGCATGTCCCTTCGCACCTTCCTCTGTCTGACACAGAAAAAACATGCTTGAGCAGCTACTACATGGAATACTGGCGTATACTTACAAAGTGAGGAAACCAACTTTTTGATTTCTGCCTCCTTCTGTCTGCGCTGCCTGTCCTGGATATATGCTGTTGGATCAAAGCGTGGAACCCGTGACCCTGCAAAAACAGAAGTGCTTATCAAGTACAAATCTTTATCAGTGGGATTAATTACTGAGAATTCATTCACAGAAATGACATCAGGAGCAGAGCTAGTACCTGTGGGGGAAGGTGATGGCCTGGGTATGCGAGCACGCGGTCCCGAGGAGTCTGCGCGTCTTCCTCTTTCCACCGACCTCTGTCCTCTATCCTCTGTACGTTCTCTAGATCCCGAGCGAGCCCTGATTGTCCCGTACCCAGACCTTCTCTCCCGAGAAAGGGAGCGATAAATTTCTCCATCTACCCGTGAGCTGATACGACCCGACACAGGAGTCACTCTGCTGCATACACAAGAAAAACAGCACTGAGTGTTCAGTGGGTGACTGATTCGGGTTTTGAAATTTTAAGTGTGTAAGCGAATGTATGAAAGAGAGAGAAAGTAAAGATATAGTACACGCTTAGATTGTCTAACCCTCTCCGTAGTAACGCCAGTTCATTGGTGAGACTCTTGACACGAACACGGAGAGCACACTCTGATGCTCTCAGCTCCTCTAACTGGAATGGAAAGAAGAAAAAGTTAAAACCTGCTGATTTATTTTAAAAAGGGGGCGTTACACGAGTTTAAAAAAAAAAGAAGAAAAGAAGCATCACCTGCTCCCCTAGCAGTCGCTGCTCCTGACATCTCTTGCTCATCGAGCGCTGACTTTTGGCCCTTTCCTTGACAAGTTGCTCCTCCAGCGTCCTCACCACATCTCTCATTCTCCAGTCCTCTCGTCCAGACGTGGGATCACTTCCACTCAACTGCAGTCGCTCCAGAACCTTCGCCATGCTCTCCTTTTCCTCTTTAACCAGAGCCAGCCTTCAAAACAGCAGGAGACATTTAAAAAAGAGAAGAAGAAAACTTCCAGCATCTGCTAATATTGGTAACACTGGTAGAGATTAAACCTACTCTGCTCGTAGCCGCTGTATTTCTAGATCTGCAGATTTGTTAACTCCGTGAGAGGTGAGAGCACTGAGCTCAGCCCTGAGCGCTCTGATTTCCTTCTGCAGGACAGCTGGGTCAGGCTTTCCCACATAGGGCAGAGGTAGAGGGTAGTGAATTCTACACATGGACAGAAAATCAGAACATCAGCACAGCTTCTACTACAGACGCAGAGGGCATAAAGCAGCAAGGCTGTGAGCAAACCTGTCAAACTCCACTGTGTATATGAGAATGAGATATCTTTTGGCGGTGAGAGCAGATGGCTGCTGATGGCTGCGAGGACGACTGACCACCCCTGCTTTTCTGTTTCGCAGTAGCTCCAGGTCAGCATAGGTCAGGAGGTCAAGCGTAACAGAGTCACTCGTCTGCAAAGAAGCATCTCTTTCAACAATCAGAATAATAAAACATGCCATTATCACCTTAGGGAACAGTCTTATGATCGTAGGCTCCTGATTTTATATTTACCTCCCCCCCAATTTACAGCAATTTAATGGCAAAAAAATATCAGCCATCTCTTCTAATGATCATGGATCTAATTTTCTAATAATGCATCTTCAGACATATCAGAAAGCATGTTTTTCTGTCTTGCTTTAACATTTACAGTGTGCGTGTATACCTTGCTTTCATGACAATTTCGTTGCAGCAGACTTAAAAATGTGCCAAAAATTCCGTTTGTCTCTCCTAATTTCCCCCAGGCTCCTTCTTTTTCCCCTGCTACTACACGTTAATTAAAAGGAAAAAGGGAGTAGGACATCCTGGGATAACTGGGCATTTTTCGCTTAAGTGGAGACAATGAACACAACCGAGTCTCCTCTTCGGCTCACACAGCCTCAGGGAAATCTGTCTCTTTATATTCATCTATTAACTGTGTTTACATTTGTTCTGCCTCTAATCCCCCCCTCCCCCCACACACACACACCTTTCTCACTGCAGATTCCAGCATGCTACAGAAAATAGGAAACTGCTTGAAGTTGCCAGTTTTGCGAGTGAGGTCTTCAATATCTAAATAAACAAAAAAGCAGTTAAAGTTAAACAGCATGAATGACTGGCTATAGTGATATGTAAACTGAGATGTATACGCCACTTACATGCTGGATCAAACTCCCCCTTCCACTGATCCGCTGTCATTGAATCAGAGATTTCGACAAAGAGCAAACCCTTGTCCACCTCCATCTTCACAGAAAACTCCACCCCCCGAAATACAATATCCTCCATCAGCTCAGAGCCTTCCTCCATTGCTCCGGCTCTAAATCGGAGAAACAAATTATTCCAATCGATTAGAAGCAACTGAATCAACCAACTCCTTTCCTGTTAAAACAGAGACAGATGTATGCGTACATCTGACACCTGAGCCAAAATATAAAGCATAATCGTAATCCTGAGCTGACCCACGCTTCTTCACACACAGCAGAGCCTTTAAGATCATGTTGAGCAACTGATAAATATCTACACTGTATTATTCGAAGGATAACAGGGAAAAGCTGCAAGGAGACATGCATAATCATATATAAAATGGGAGTTAAATGATGTGTTGTGAAAAATATATTGTATCATTCCATGCATCTCACAAAAATATCCCAACATTTTGGGAACATTTGCAATTCTCGGTCTTATTACAGTGACATTAAGATTTCTTTCAGCATCACAGTCAGAATCAGAATTTTTATTGTCATTAAACAAAAAATTAAAAAAAGGTACGCAGTCCCATTCAGTAGAAAATGAGCAATATATCTAATTAAATAGTTTTCATATGTACAAAGACTAATAACACAATTTCGAATAAATAAAACAATATAAATATATTAGTGTGTATAAAAACATGTGTGCTTGTATCATTATTGATTTCACAGGGTTGATATTTTCACAGGTTAGTGAAACAAGCCATATTCACAACATATGCATTTCTTATCTTCAAATAGATATCTTCAATAGCCATTTCTCTCTCTTGTTTTTTACATCTTTTAAATGTAATTCTATTTTTTCGGCTCCTCTCGCACAGCCTGTTATTACACAAGTAAGCCGCAGGGGGCGGCAGCGGACATAGTTCATTTTAAAAGGTGTCAACATTGTTACAGTAAAAGTTCTGATTGATGGCTTCAGTCAAACGGTATGGGACTTGAGGGATTTGACAATGATCTTAAGCCACTGTTTAATAAAGTACGTCATTAACTGCGTCTCTTTTGTGGCTTTAAAACGCTGAAAGATTTCGCGCTGGACTTCACTTTCTCCGGTACTGCTAATAAAATATGTGCAACATTTTATCACATCGCATTGGGAAAAAAGGTTTACTTCGAGTGAAAAAGCGTTAAATTTAAGCACGGTTTCGTTGGAAGATATAATTGCATTGTTCTAAACTACGGTGCTACATTTTCTCCTACTTCTCCGTCAGCTAGCGAGAGTTACATCTTTGGTCAACTGACCAGCGCTAGTTAGGGTTAGCTAGCACGGACACTATGGTTAGTTAGCACAAGTATTATCTTAGTGGACTCACAGAGCGCTAACAGAGCTATCTGTACATCAACCACACAGCGTTATTAGATGTGCAATCAAACAAATGAACGTTACCTCTGCGTGCAGTGATGCTCCCTAGGGTGGTAAGCTGTCAAAACATTGCTACCTTTAGTAAAAACATGGTGGTGACCTATCTAAATGAAGTAACTATAACTGCTAGTCGACTAAATGACCGTCATCCCAAGCCCCAAACTGTTCATAAGCCGCAGGGCACCGTGGAGACCGGAGCGGTTCAACAACCGGGAACCGTTAAATTCTTCTTCTTTACCTCTCTCTGCCGCTGCCGCCTCTTCCTCTGTCTCGATTAGATGAAGGCTCGATATCTCGCAGGCGTGTGGGCGCCCTCCACAGGTACCGATCAGACACTGCTCTTACAACCACACGAAATGGAATACGGTGAATGTTCACGGTGCACGAAAATGTCAGATAGGCTAATCATGTAACGACGCAGCAGTGTAACGGCGACAATGTAACGGTAATAATAACGAGTAATGATAATATTAGCTGTATTAAAATTTGCTAAAAGCATCCAATACATTATAAAGTAATGTGAAAAAATATGAGCCCTCATTTCTTCATATTTTGCTGGAAAATGGGAAATAGGTGCAACAAGATTCCCACAATGTTTCAGTAATTCTGAGGTTTGGTCTCTGGGGAGGCCAATCCATGACTGATACTGCATTGCGTGTTGTGTGCATTGTGTGTTTTTCTATCCAGGTATGCTTTTGCTGGATTGTTAGCATGTTTGGGATCATTGTCATGCTGAAAAAACAAACA